TAGGAACTGAAATTGTTTTTGTTTGAGACTAACACTTTAGGAACTGACAATGTTTTTGTTTGAGACTAACGCTTTAGGAACTGACAGGTTTAGCTTCACATTACAGCCAACATACACTCCGGTTTTGATTTGTAGCGCTTGTTTAAGATGGAAAACTAGGCTGTCGGAGACAGCGAAAATCTGGTGCGAAGGTCAAAGGTTAATCAAGATGACAAACATGTGGGTGCGGACCAAAGAAATTAGACCGTTAGACGGAGATCGTTAACGGGGATGCTCCAGCCAAAAGGTTCCGGGGATAATCAACGGCTAAGGTCACGTGTGATCTCGGCACTTCAAAGCCAGACATGACCACGAGATTTCCGCTTCTGATTTGTTTCGTGGAGAGATATTTCCTGGCTGGGTTCCATGTTTTTTAGACGTTTAATACGCAATGTTTGTTACAATCAGAGATAAGGGTCTTTCACACCAGAGCAAAATACATTATGGGCCCTTCACACCAGATCATAATACATTATGGACCCTTCACAAAAAATCAATACATTACATAGAGGGTTTTTATCTCTCTATACTGTCATCGTATTCTTAGTACAACAGGACAGAAAAGTCAACAGTACTACTTTACTAAAGTGTGTGTTCAGCACCAATCTGACCATGGTCATATTTGGCTACAGTAGACACGATCTGAGCTATTACAAAAACAATGAACAAAGCACACTAACATTCATAAGAATATCTTACGGGGATTTCCAAGAGAAAAAAATACGGGAATTTCCAGAAACAAAAATCAATCGAACAAGATAAACAGCAACAAGATAAGTAGTTGAGGGAGGGGGGGGGGTAACACTAGACCCGGAAACAAGTTTGTTATTGTATCTAGACATGAAGCGTCGAGACAAGATGCTCTGACTCTATGAAAACACGGGAGTCACCCTAGACCGGGTATTCCCAGTGAGGAACGTGCAACTAATAATTAGCCGCGAAAGCCGGGGAGTTGTGTATGGCGATGCTACGCTGGAGTTATCTCCTACTCAGTTCGACGTACAAAAATAAACATCTCAAGTGAAACTCGTTCTCGAGAGTCGAGGGGTTGGAAGGGTAGATAATTCAACCGGATATCTCACAGAAAATATATACAAAGTAATCCATTTTATTAATTGACTTAGAAATGTTGTCTTTAAAAAAAAACAAAAAACTTTTAAATTAAATAATTAAGTTAAGATAATGTGGGTAAATTTGTTTCATTTTAGAAAAAAAAACCCACTATGTTAGCATTCACAGTCGATTTTAGGACGAAAGACCACTAATTCTAACAAAGACAAACAACATTTCAAATAAATAATAACTAAAAAAGCTATTACATTTCAGGTTTTTAAAGCACTTCACGATTGACAACGTTTTACATAGAGACAAAAAAAGAAAGCTGATTATATTCAACACCCATCAGTGTTTCTTCCAGACTTTTTTTCTCCGAGGGGGGGGGGGGGGGGGGGGGGCGGCACTTTATACTTTCGGGGTGGGGGGCGGACGCGGACTACATTTTCCGGGTGGGTGTAGACACTGGTAAAAGTATATATATTTTCTATATAGGTTCCATTTTGTTCGGGAGGGGGGAGTGGGGTCGGTAGACTTTCTTCGGGGTGAGGGGGGGGGGGGGTGTCAGCGCTCCCCGAAGAGAAGCCTAGAAGAAACTATGCGTAAAATAAATTCCTGTGCGCAGTTTTTGATGAAGATTTGACTGTGGCACATGTTTACGTAAGTGCTCTATTATGTGAGAGTATTGTCTTTGCGCATTTTTTTTTAAACTGGTGCAGTGTGTATTTTTAAAATGCATAGTTCCTTGTTCTAGTAACTGTTATCGATCTATTATGTTATGTACACAATAACAATAACCCCCCCCCCCCCCCCCCCCCCCCGTCTACAAACAAACTGAATTTTAAAGTCGACTCGTCAGTAGTAAATAGGTTAGCTACTAACAAACGTTTAAAAATACTTTTAAAAAAACTGTTTAGATAACATTGAGCCAGTACACGTAGGAGTCGTTGCATTTATTCTGAAGCCAGAGTTTGTACAGGGCCTATAGTCTTACAGTCTCTTGCTATTTTCACAGCAATCAAGCATCTCTTTACGGCTGGCGCAGCGGGCAGACACATACAATAACAGAGCTAGTGCCAGCGCTGATGCACCTCATGGGCTGCGTCCAACGATGCACCGCTCGGTGAAGCAGCGAATGTCAGTTTACATTAAGACGGGAGCTACGTCAGTCGATGGAATGGTACCGTTATACGGGAGTCACGTGATGAAATGGTACCGCTATACGTGAGTCAGCCGATGAAATGGTACCGCTATACGGGAGTCACGTGATGGAATGGCACCGCTATACGTGAGTCACTTGATGGAATGGTACCGCTATACGGGAGTCACGTGATGGAATGGTACCGCTATACGGGAGTCACGTGATGGAATGGTACCGCTATACGGGAGTCACGTGATGGAATGGTACCGCTATACGGGAGTCACGTGATGGGATGGTACCGCTATACGGGAGTCAGTCGATGGAATGGTACCGCTATACGGGAGTAAATCGATGAAATGGTACCGCTATACGTGAGTCAGCCGATGAAATGGTACCGTTATACGGGAGTCACGTGATGGTACCGCTATACGGGAGTCACGTGATGTAATGGTACCGCTATACGGGTGTCACGTGATGAAATGGTACCGCTATACGTGAGTCACGTGATGGAATGGTACCGCTATACGGGAGTCACGTGATGGAATGGTACCGCTATACGGGAGTCACGTGATGTAATGGTACCGCTATACGGGAGTCACGTGATGGTACCGCTATACGGGAGTCACGTGATGGAATAGTACCGCTATACGGGAGTCACGTGATGGTACCGCTATACGGGAGTCACGTGATGGAATGGTACCGCTATACGGGAGTCACGTGATGGAATGGTACCGCTATACGGGAGTCACGTGATGGAATGGTACCGCTGTACGTGAGTCAGTCGATGGAATGGTACCGCTATACGGGAGTCACGTGATGGAATGGTACCGCTATACGGGAGTCACGTGATGGAATGGTACCGCTATACGGAAGTCGATGGATGAAATGGTACCGCACTACGGGAGTCACGTGATGGAATGGTACCGCTATACGGGAGTCACGTGATGGAATGGTACCGCTATACGGGAGTCACGTGATGGTACCGCTATACGGAAGTCGATGGAATGGTACCGCTATACGGGAGTCACGTGATGGAATGGTACCGCACTACGGGAGTCACGTGATGGAATGGTACCGCTATACGGGAGTCACGTGATGGAATGGTACCGCTATACGGGAGTCAGTCGATGGAGCCAATTTTAAGTCAATTTTTATAATTTATTTCATCCGATCCTCAAACTCCAACGGATGGCGACCGAGAGTATTTTCACACTGAATAATTCTAGACTTCAACATCAGCAGACGACCAAGGTTCCAGACGACATTTGGCCAAAAGATCAACAAGCGTTGTCATTGGTCAAGTGCAGCGTCAGACGGGGTGTTTGTTTTGAAAGGTCACACGCGGATTAGGAATCGGAGCAGAGCTAAAGCAAGCAGCGCTCACTTTGAAGCACTGCTTGCAGGGACCACGGATATATTTATCTTCCCCTAGCACCGGGAAAATGAAGATGGCGGATGAAAATATACATGCACGTGGTCTCGAGGTCGCGTGCCGGTACGTCAGAGTTTAAACTATCAGTAACTGCTTGTGGCATCATTCATTAGGTGCTGGGAACCCCCCACACCCCTCCCATGCCAACCCCTCCCATCTATACATGCTGATAGGTTGAGCTATATATTAACACCAGGTGCGAGCCAAACCGGCACCAAACAACAAACTCATCATGTTTGTCACAACACCATCAACAACAGCGCGACTGTTTACACAATGCTGGCGGGCAGGAAGGGAATCCTGGCCAAAGATTTAGACGTATTTTTGATAGAGTTTATCTTGACAAGATGTGAACATAAGAAGTTGTATATAAATCTAAAGATTAATAACATCAATTTTAGACTTATAAATAATTATGTAACTAACAGGCTGGGTTCCATGTTTTTTTAGACGTTTAATACGAAATGTTTGCTACAATCAGAGATAAGGGTCTTTCACACCAGATCATAATACATTATGGGCCCTTCACATCAGATAATACTACAGTATGGGCCCTTCACATTTAAAATGTATTAACACAATAAGATGTAACTTTCAGAGAATCAAAATCGAGCCTCAGAAAGAGATATCTAGGGACGGGAGAAACGAAGAGTGGAATTTAAATTGCACGAGACTCCCAGTAAACAAAAACCAATTCCTGTACATGTCTGGCATTAGAACATTTTACAGGTGTGAAAAAAAAATGTCAGGCCACCGTTTCCACAATGTCTCCCCCCACCCCCTCCCATCTTCTTGTCTTTCGTTTGATGTGGCGTGTGGTAATATAAGAGCAGGTGGGGGGGGGGAGGCTATCAGTCTCTCAGACAGACATCCCAGGGTAATATCAACGGCCATTAATGTCTGACATACAATAGCCCAAAATAGATTCTATTCACCTTTACTCTATTTCAGAGCCACGTCCCGGGGTAATATCTACTGCCGTTATGTCTTACACATTTCTTTTACATTCCAATCAGGTATTTAAAAAAAAAAAACTAGAGTAGTTCAGTAGTTAATGTATGCATAACAATTTACATAGATCAGCATTGAAGATGTACATAATTCAGCAGAATACAATGTATGCATCTAAATAAACCTGATCATTAGATCAATAACAGATGGTTGCTTCGTCTTTAATATCCAACCAAAAGTGGGGCTCTAGAGTCAGTAAAACAGTTGATATGGAAAGCTTTAAGTTATGATAGTAACAAATAGGATCAAAAGACCAGGATGTTCAGCCTTGCAGTAATAAGAATAGAGCTTTAGGTCAAAGGTGATAATGTAATGGGGACTGACCTTCCTGTCCTCTTCTTGAATGGTTTCTTCCAGAAGTTTCTCCGTCTCAGCCAGCCACACCTCCAGCTGGGACTTGTCCTGAGAGAACTGTTGGTAGACGGGCAGGACAGTGGTCACTTCATGGCGCTTGCTCTCTGTGTCTCGCTGGATAGCCAGCCAGCGGATCTGAGCAGGGGAGATGACCAAAATTTATAGATTAATCAAATTGTGGCGTTTAAAAAAGTATTAAGAAAAAATTTACTTCGATTTTCTAATAATCAAACAAGACTATTTTAGAATAATCTACATATACAATTAATGAGATATCCAGCAATATGTTTAGGTACATGCATTGTTGTATCCTAACATTTGTGGACTTGAATACATGAAAATGTAAAGTATCATGTTTGTAAAGAGTTATGTACCTTGAGTTCCTGTAACTTGTTACTGACTCGGGCGTGTGTGAGCGGATCTCGACTGGTCTCTGCTGCTATCAAGAGTTTTTCCCCTTGGCTGGTTACAGCTTGAATGTCCACTAGCAGATTGATTTTTTCCTCTTCCATCTTCTATTCAGGCAAAACAAATTAATTAGTATAATTAATAAGATGCAGGCAACTAATCAGTGCATATGTGACCCTAGTTAGCTTTTCTATCAAGGCCTAAAATTTGATGATTTGATAGTTTAATTATTGTTTCAGTTGTATTAAAGAATACTTATAACCTATAAGAAGACAGGTAATTAGGTCTTAGTTAAATTTAAAAAAATTTCCCAGGTAACCGTAGCGTGAACCTACCTCTAGAGTGTCATTCAGTCCCTTGGCGTAGTCTGTGGGGGTGACACGGCCCCCAGTGGACACCCGGGCCTCAAACTCGTCCATCTTGTTATTGAGGTCATCGTAGAGTTTGTTGAACTCCTCCCCACCCTCCACCTTAGGCCTGGTGGGGCTGCCAGGTGAGGCGGAGCTTAAGGGGGAGACGTTCCTGGTCTCTACAACAGTTGGACCCTCAGGTGGGACGCTGGCCTGTCTCTCCTGGGGTAAAGACATTTATTGACACGTGTCAACCATTTCTTCATTAATATAAAGGAATCTAGGGATTACTACAACAAAATAAAATAGTGGATTATGTAATTGTCCATAGAAGATAGCTATTTCTGTGTATAACTGTAAAATAAACACTGTGACAATGTATCAAAATAATGGATTATGTAATGGTCCATAGGCCATAGCTTTCTTTGAGTATAAATGTAAAATAAAACACTGACAATGTATTAAAAAGGTCATTTCTAGGACAATCAAAATGTATTGATTTTAATTTAAAATAAAATAGGTAGGCCAACTATTTTTTTGGCCACATAAAATTCATTAGCCTAATTCTGATGGCCAATAAAGAAAAACTACTACAATTCCGAAGGCCAATAAACAAAAAACATTATTCCCTAATTCTAATGATCACAAAAAAAAAAACAAAAAAAAACAAACAACAACTGACCCTAATTCGGATGGCCAACTCCTCCCAGCGCTGGTTGATGTGAGATAACTCTGGCTCCACCATCCTACTGTAGCGGTCACTTTTACTCATCAGCTCAATGGCCTGGTCCCTGATCTCATCCACCTGACTCCGCAGGTCACTCATCTGTTTCTGCATGGTCTAATTCATACAACATGATATACATATAACATACAATACATGTGTAACTTATCTACATCATACAACACAATATACATATAACTTATTCATAATATACAACACAATAAATGCATAAGTTATCTACATCATACAACACAATATACATATAACTTATTCATAATATACAACACAATAAATGCATAAGTTATCTACATCATACAACACTATAAATGTACAACTTATCTACATAATACAACACAATAAATGTATAAGTTATATACATCATACAACACAATAAACATGTTATTTATCTAAATCATACAACACAAAATAGACCTACAAGGTTAGGGTTAAGCTTCAAATAGCCCCTCCCACCTATATTTACCCCCAGCATCCCTTGATCAACTCACCTTCAGGGTCTCTCTATGTGGGGTCAACTTCTGCTGCTGTTCTGACAGACGACTGTGGGAGCCAATGATGGTCTCCGCCCTCCCCAACCACTCTTTGATCTTCAGGATCTGGGTCTGGAAGTCAACAAATTGGGTCTCCATATTCAGGATTTCTTCCTGCAATATTAAGAAGGAAGTCAACAAATTGGGTCTCCATATTCAGGATTTCTTCCTGCAACAACAAAGCCAGGTTAAACAATGCAATTCTGGTATAAAAATATGTAAATCATTGGTGCATTTATTTAGATAGTCAAAGTGTTTTTAAGTATTCCTATATGAAGAACTTTTAGTTCTCAAATATTTAGTTTTGAAGCAATGGCAACCATATCAGTCTACAATATTTGGGGTAAGTATGCTACTTTTTAATATGGATTTTAAAAAAAAATTGAATTCAGGTTTGAGTGCCATTTTTGAAGCTTTGCTTTCTTTTATGTAATCTTTTTTTATAGAAATAACACCTGAGGCCTATACAGCACATATTAAATATTTAAAATGTTTTGTCAGTAAATAACTTGACCTGTAGATGTGCCTTCTTCCTGGTCAGTCTTTGGGACAATTCCTGCATGTCAGCGGATGCCTTGTTGGCCTGACCTCTGGAGTCTGAGACATCCACCTCATCAGAAAGGTCCTGGAGTTGGTTAATCAGGTCATGGATGGAGGTCAGCATTGGTTCCTTCTGCAGAATTTCAACTTCCATGGCCTGCAAGTCAGTGTTGAAACAAATCACTATTTCAGTTTAAGTGAAACTTTTATGTAAACAAAAGCCAGAAAAAAAAAACCAAATGTAAAACAGCTGCAGTGAAAATTTCATCAAGCCAATCCCACCTACATTTAACTACAGTATCCCAGGATCCACCCACCTTTAGCCAGCCACTCCCACCTACATTTAACTATAGTATCCCAGGATCCACCCACCTTTAGCCAGCCACTCCCACCTACATTTAACTATAGTATCCCAGGATCCACCCACCTTTAGCCAGCCACTCCCACCTACATTTAACTACAGTATCCCAGGATCCACCCACCTTTAGCCAGCCACTCCCACCTACATTTAACTACAGTATCCCAGGATCCACCCACCTTTAGCCAGCCACTCTCACCTACATTTAACTATAGTATCCCAGGATCCACCCACCTTTAGCCAGCCACTCTCACCTACATTTAACTATAGTATCCCAGGATCCACCCACCTTTAGCCAGCCACTCTCACCTACATTTAACTATATTATCCCAGGATCCACCCACCTTTAGCCAGCCACTCTCACCTACATTTAACTATAGTATCCCAGGATCCACCCACCTTTAGCCAGCCACTCCCACCTACATTTAACTATAGTATCCCAGGATCCACCCACCTTTAGCCAGCCACTCCCACCTACATTTAACTATATTATCCCAGGATCCACCCACCTTTAGCCAGCCGATCCCACCTACATTTAACTATATTATCCCAGGATCCACCCACCTTTAGCCAGCCACTCCCACCTACATTTAACTATATTATCCCAGGATCCACCCACCTACAGTCAGCCAATCCCACATATATATAACTAAAGTATCCCAGGATAAACTTACAACAGTAAAATTTAGCTCCTCCTCCAAGTTCTTTTTGGTGCTGTCTTCCCTCTCATCCAGTGTTTGATTGGTTGAAGTGATGAATTCAGTGACCAATGAAAGCTCTTTTTTCAAAGTTTTGGTCAGTTTTAAAGACCTCTCCAAGTCAGCCTTGCTCTGTTTGATCTAAAATTTACAAATCATTTCTGTTTTTTTTCCCTTTATAAAAGTTACAATATGACACAGAAAACTATGACTTAAATAGTTATTTCATTTAAATATATTTTTTGTTACCAGTAAATACACTTTGCATAAAAAACACAAACTATTTTAAAACAGTTAAAAAAATCAATACATATGTAATTAAATGTATGTCAATTAGAACATTTTTAATTAGAACAAGTTCATTAAAGGCTCATCTTAAGTATTCTTCAGCTTATAAATATTTGTTCCGTAGTAGCCTAAAATTGTTCATTAAAAAATTGTCTGTTATAAATTTATGAGAATTAACACAAACATTTTTACATCTAGAATCAAAATTTTCTAATTATTTTCAGAAATCGTAAAATAACCTATTTATTGAAGTCAAATTATTTTGAAAAAAAAAATGAACATATTTCTTGCAATGAAAAGCTCTAATAGAGTTTGTTTACTCATATTGCTTCATCTGCCTTCATTTTACTACTTTACTGCTCATTTATATTTGGCCATTTCATTAGGGTATATTAAAGAACAACTGGTAAACTTTAAAGTGGGCAATAAATTAAAACAGAATTTGACTTAAAAAAAGCCTTCATACAAGATTGGGTTCTATATCTAAACACACCAAGCCCTTGAAGTGTACACAAATTGTCGTAGGCTTACAACAGTAAAAAAGTGAAATAGGCTTACAACAGTAAAACAGTGAAACAGGCTTACAACAGTAAAATAGGCAGTTTAAAAGTTTAGACAGGTTTACAACAGTTAAACAGGGAACAGGGGTTAAAGTTCATCTTGAGTACATACTGACTGACAGTTCAAAAAGTGTGATGCAGCATGTTATTGGAGAAGGATACAGTATCATGCATCATGCTATGAGCATATCAATTAAGTATAAACTTATCCTAGAAATTCATGCCTTAACCGATGATTTTCTTAACATATTGAGAGCAATGTTTTTACAAAATAATAAGTGTTTTATGTTTAATAAGAATATAAAAAATAATTAATTATCCATGTATTTAAGGAAAACGTTTTTTTTGCTTACCAAAATTTAAATTTAAAATTATCTTGTATTAGATTTGAATCTTAATTAATTAAAGTAGTAATTATTTTTAAAATCACATTTTTTAAAACTATAACAATTTACATATTAAGAGTATGTTAGTGCATTTTTACACACAGGAACTCTTTGAATAATGTTGATTATTATAAGCAGCCAACATGCACCAGTTGATAAAACTGTTGTAATCAAAATTATCAAAGCTTTAGGGCAGTAGGGACACGAATGTCACACTCAAAGAGAACAACAACCAACATTTATGAACAAACTAAAAAGGGGAAGAATGCCAGGCCATTCAGCCAACCAGTGGCCCTGCAGCAAGATGGTGTAGCAGTACCTGCGCCCCAAGCTCGTTATAAAGTTGCTTGATTGCGTCCAACTGTTTGCTCAGGGAGTCTGGAAAGTCAACCTGCTTGCGCTCCACAATCTGACGCCCGGTTTTTAGAACCGTTTCAACCTCCGGCTTGAGCTCACTCATGGTTTTGTAGAATTTCTGTTCAGAGAATGACGTAGGGGGTCGGGGGGTTACAGAGAGAGACAAGGGACACAAGATTAACATGGAGAGTTCTGATGTTACATTTGTTAATGAATATTTGATCTCCCCCACTGTGAAAGGAAGGGAGGCTGTGTTATGTTGATACATGAAGATCTTGTTTTAGTAGTATATACAATCCATTTAATATAGATTTAATGGAAATGAAACAGATATTTAAGATATAGTAAACATTGTAGTATTTTTATAAATTTTTGTTATCTGAATAAAGTTGAAATGTAAAGTCAATATTTAAAGATTTTAAATATAAATATGTAGTAAACATCTTAAAATAGCTGATGAGTTTAATTTATTTTTTTAACCTTTGGCAAAGGTTTAAAATTTAAAAAGTATTCTGCTATTTCTGAATTAGTAAAGCCAAGTGGATATTAATAGCTCTTAATACTATGTGTATATACAATACAATATGTTGGTCAAGGACTGCCAAGGTTTAAAGACAAATCACCAATATTTATGGTACAAGATTTCAACATACAGGAGAATGAAAAACATTAACAGAACAATATCAACACTTATAGAACAATATGAAACAATTAAAACATGAAATATTTCTGGGACAATATGAAACAATTAACTAGTGTAAACGTTTATATGTCGTGGCAATTGTGAGGTGAGGCACAGTCAAGTTTGAAGGCAGAAGAGGTGAAATAGTTTGAGAAATGCTTTCTTTAGAAGTATGAGAAGCTGTGCCAACATGCGCAGAGCCAATATTGTATTGAAACTATCAAAACATGCACCAGAAATAAAAACTGTCAACTTATTTTCCTACATTATTGTAGGGCCTACATCTATTATTGTACTTCAACATTAAGGATAAATATTACTTTCTAAACACAAACACTCAACAATATAATAAAAACAACTGCTATTTAGGAGTCATACTAGTTTAGTATCTTGACTGTGAAGGAATATTTGAGTAAATAAATAGGTATGTGAGGCTATTTGTAGATTACATTGAACTCATGAACTGGTTCAACTGAAGGAACACAACATTTGTCTTGTTGACTAGTGCTATTGTACGCAAACTGGTAATGCTGACCAGCACACCGACTCAGCTGACCAGCACACTGACTCAGCTGACCAGCACGCCAAATCAGCTGACCAGAACACTGACTTAGCTGACCAGCAACTGACTTAGCTGACCAGTACACAGACTCAGCTGACCAGCAACTGACTTAGCTGACCAGCACACTGACTCAGCTGACCAGCAACTGACTTAGCTGACCAGTACACAGACTCAGCTGACCAGCAACTGACTTAGCTGACCAGTACACAGACTCAGCTGACCAGCAACTGACTTAGCTGACCAGCACACTGACTTAGCTGACCAGCAACTGACTTAGCTGACCAGTACACAGACTCAGCTGACCAGCAACTGACTTAGCTGACCAGCACGCCGACTCAGCTGACCAGCATACTGACTTAGCTGACCAGTACACAGACTCAGCTGACCAGTACGCTGACTCAGCTGACCAGTACGCTGACTCAGCTGACCAGTACGCTGACTCAGCTGACCAGTACGCTGACTCAGCTGACCAGTACGCTGACTCAGCTGACCAGTACGCTGACTCAGCTGACCAGTACGCTGACTCAGCTGACCAGAGCTACTGACCAGCACACTGACCATACTCAAACAAAACTCATGAGTTGAGAGAGCAGACACTTACCATACAGTTTTCATGTCTGGACTGGATGGCATCCAGGTCATCACTGGGCACCTCCAGCAGGTGGACGGTGCCTTGGATGGCCCCAAGCTCTCGCCAGACGTGGGTCATCTTTGGCTCAAAGTCTGCTGGACGCTGGAACTTGCGGAACTTGACCATCACTTCAGAAAAGTGTTTCTGTGAAGAGATCACAGACAATCCTTTGATGGACAATCACTGAAAGACAACTCCCAGTGGGTTAACAGTTTGACTATCTCCATTGCCTGAACAATGAGAACTGAGGAGAGCAGGGAATGAAGTATACAGCAACACAACATAGTGTTTTAAGAATACTTTTAATGCTCCACTAACTCTACAGAAATGTAACTGATGGCCTAAAACTATGGAAGATGTGCTAGAATATGGCCATTTAATCATGTTTCCCCAAACACTTTAAGTAAGTTTTCCAGGATTTTCCATGAGGAATTAGAAATTTTAAGGAACCCTCATTAATAAAAATTAATATTTTAAAAATTATTTTTAATATAATTAATCTTCTAAGGTAAATATTGGGATTTCTAATAAAATAGGAAATTACACTGTGACTAATTGGTTGTATCTAGAAAACATTGATGTAGTGGAGTAAAATCTAGTCAGCCAGGAGCCCATTGAGACAGGAGCCCAAGAACCAGGAGACCATTGAGCCAGGAGCCCATTGAGCCAGGAGCCCATTGAGCCAGGAGCCCATTGAGCCAGGAGCCCATTGAGCCAGGAGCCCATTGAGCCAGGAGCCCATTGAGCCAGGAGCCCATTGAGCCAGGAGCCCATGAGCCAGGAGCCCATTGAGCCAGGAGCCCATTGAGCCAGGAGCCCATTGAGACAGGAGCCTATTGAGACAGGAGCCCATTGAGCCAGGAGCCCATTGAGCCAGGAACCCATTGAGCCAGGAGCCCATGAGCCAGGAGCCCATTGAGCCAGGAGCCCATTGAGCCAGGAGCCCATTGAACCAGGAGCCCATTGAGCCAGGAGCCCATTGAGACAGGAGCCTATTGAGACAGGAGCCCATTGAGACAGGAGCCCATTGAGCCATGAGCCCATTGAGCCATGAGCCCATGAGCCAGGAGCCCATGAGCCAGGAGCCCATGAGCCAGGAGTCCATTAAGCTAGGAGCCCATGAGCTAGGAGCCCATGAGCCAGGAGCCCATGAGCCAGGAGTCCATTAAGCTAGGAGCCCATGAGCCAGGAGCCCATGAGCCAGGAGTCCATTAAGCTAGGAGCCCATGAGCCAGGAGCCCATGAGCCAGGAGTCCATTAAGCTAGGAGCCCATGAGCCAGGAGTCCATTAAGCTAGGAGCCCATGAGCCAGGAGCCCATGAGCTAGGAGCCCATGAGCCAGGAGCCCATGAGCCAGGAGTCCATTAAGCTAGGAGCCCATGAGCCAGGAGCCCATGAGCCAGGAGTCCATTAAGCCAGGAGCCCATGAGCCAGGAGCCCATGAGCCAGGAGTCCATTAAGCTAGGAGCCCATGAGCCAGGAGTCCATTAAGCTAGGAGCCCATGAGCCAGGAGCCCATGAGCCAGAAGCCCATGAGCCAGGAGTCCATTAAGCTAGGAGCCCATGAGCCAGGAGCCCATTAAGCTAGGAGCCCATGAGCCAGGAGCCCATTGAGCTAGGAGCCCATGAGCCAGGAGCCCATTGAGCCAGGAGCCCATGAGCCAGGAGCCCATTGAGCCAGGAGCCCATGAGCCAGGAGCCCATGAGCCAGGAGCCCATGTGCAGGAGCCCATTGAACCAGGAGCCCATGAGCCAGGAGCCCATTGAGCCAGGAGCCCATTGAGCCAGGAGCCCACGAGCCAGGAGCCCATGAGCCAGGAGCCCATTGAGCTAGGAGCCCATGAGCCAGGAGCCCATTGAGCCAGGAGCCCATTGAGCCAGGAGCCCATGAGCCAGGAGCCCATGAGCCTCCTTACCATCAACCTGCACACTGACCAACTGTATGACGTAACACAAACCTTGAGCAGCTGCGTCTGCTGCTCTAGTCTAGCAGACGCCTCCATCTTGCCCTGCTGCTTGTACTCCTGAACACTTCTCTCCAGCTCCTCTAGCAGCTCCTCTTGTTGTTTAAACTCCAGCTGCAACGTCTGGAAGACAATACAAACAGAATCCATCATGTCTCAATAATACTGCCATCATGTCTCTATAATACTGCCATCTTGTCTCAATAATACTGACATCCAATTCTTAAATTTTTGTAAATATCAACCCTTCATGACACTACAATACTTCCAGACCTAGCTGTATGGAGAATTTATTTAAAGTTAAACTTCCTTTTTAAAATTTTCGTTATTTTAAAAAAATGTCATGAGATAATTATAATTCAATAAGCCCTGTGTAAATAAGATTACATTCACTAAATAATATAAATTTTCACAACGATAAAGTAAAGGAAACGAAAATATTTTGGAGAGAACGCTAACTGAAATGTATTGACCTCATTTTCATTGGGCACATCTCCAGCCAACATGTCGGCATCCAACCTGTTCTGTAAGAGCTGAGAGACATCCCCCATCCACTGGGTCATCTCTAGCATCTGCCGCTCAATAGTCTGAGCTCTCTGGATGGATTTCTCTAGCACCTGGATCTTGCTCCTTGCCTGGTGTTTTAACAAGATATGTTAGTACAATCCAGCTGATTAGTGAGGTGGTTCTACATACACAAATTCTATAGTTTGTCTTACAATACATATATAAACAATATATATTACCAAAATAAAGTCATATATAGCAAACTGTATAAAATATATGTAAACTTAGTTGTTTTAAAAATGAATCCTGACATACAAGTTTAGAAGTGAGATGTTTCTCTAACATCACTCTCCAACTTGTAAAGGTATGATAACTTAATGCGTCTTAAAGATTAATTTTAAAACACAGGTTCCAAAGTGAGACTTTTCACTTTTAAGTGTTTACACAAGTTTTATAGTGAAACTGATCACTTTTCAGTATTAACACAAGTTTCCAAGCGAACTGTTCACTTTTTAGCATTAACACAACATTCATAGTGAACTGTTCACTTTTAAGTATTTACACAAGTTTTATAACTGTTCACTTACATCACTCTCCAGCTTGTCATATTTCCTGAGGAATTCCTCCAGCTCTTTTCTCACTGTGTCTACCATTATGGAGTTATCTATCAGGTGATTGGCCAGTTCTTGAATGTGTCTTTTGTTTTCAGTTGAATGATTGGCTAGGAAATTCTCCACATCCTGTATACAAATTTAAAACAATATTGTAATGTTTACATTTTTCTCCTTAAAATATGTGTAAGTTGCTAAAAATGTGTTAAATAAAACTTACATTCAATTCATCAGAAATGTCTTCAGCATCAGAGCTGGCAGCTGATGATTTTCTAACTTTTTTCTCCAGAGATTGTAGGTAATCTCTCTCAATCTGTACAGATGCCAGAGTTACATTACATCAATTTGAACATTTTAAAAAAATTATTGAAAATTAGTAGCTATATATTTCACAACGGGCAAAGGTTATTCTTCCTGATAATTTCATGTTATGGAAAATTAAATGGCCATTTTTATAATTTAAAAAAATAATTAAGCTAGCAAAGTACAACGTTTTAAAATAAAAGAATGACTTACATCAAACAACTTCCTGATCTCATGCCACTTGGCGTCTGCTGTTTGGTAAAGTTTAAAGTAAAGGTCAACACGGTTGTAGACATCATCCCAGAGGGCCGTCAGTCTCATCAACAACCTTGCAAGGTCCTGGGAGGTAGGTTTTAAAAAAATGTAACCAAAGTTACACAAATATTCTATTTAGTTCCAGAAATATTTTATTCAGTTAAACAAATATTCAATTCAGTTATGCTGAATTAAAGTCAGCGCTAATACAAGTCAGAAGGTTTGGTGTGTCTTACTTGAAGAGAGCCTGATGGGCCATCTGAAATCATGGCTTTTGCTTCTTCTGAAACCTCATTCACTTCAGCTTTCTTGCCATCAATTTCAGATTTTAGGCTCTGAAAACAACATTCTAAGTTATAAAACAGTGTTAGACTTTGGTTAGAAATAAAAAAAATGGATCAACAACTGAACAAGTGAACCAAGATCAAGCAATAAACAGATGAAAGTAGGCAGGAAAATTACATTTGTAGTACAACATAAGCATTTGTAAATAAAAAGTATGCTACTTTACTAAATCTGTTGATCTGAACCAGAAAGTGTGCTTATTTCTCTGTAAATAATTTCTAAAACAAACAAAACATTTTTTTGTTTACCTTGAATTTTTTGGTCTTGACCAGTAAATCATTCGCGTTCTCCACAGAATAATCTTTGTTACTGAGGCTGACCTTGACCTCAGTCAGCCAGATGTTCAGGGCCTCCACCCTCTCATAGATGGTCTGGCTTTTGCTCAGCGCCTCAGTCAGGCGTTTGTTCTGTTCTGAGGCAAGGGAGGCTACTTGTTCCCAGCGGTTGTTGAGGTCATTGACCTCCTTCTCTACCTGTGTTCTGTAGCCAGGTTCAGCTTCAGAGACCAGGCTCTTCCACATGGAGTTGATGTTCTTGACATTGGTCTGTAGAGTCTTGATGTCCTCTTCCACACCCTAGTAAAAATAGACATAATGAAAATAATTTGATTTAGCATTAAATAATACATTTGGTAATGTATTACAACATTGTTATTTGACTGGAATTTTACTATTTATATTGTTATGCTATTTAGTTAAGCTTTTGCCACATCTGAACTATATAACATTTTTTAAATATGTTTAATTTGTTATTAAATTAAACTTCATACACTAACAACTCTGTATTTAAAACAAAATAGATTCCATTTGTTGAGTTGCACATTTACAAAGATATATTTGAAATGTAATTAATTTTTGGACAATGACTTTATAGATTTAAAAAAATTAAGTTTGTTATTAAGATTAAGATTTTGCACACCAATATATTTAAATGTAAATTTGATTCATTATAAGCTTATTAAGTTAAACTTTTTACACACATTGCTTTCCTGCAGCTGGGCCTGTAGAGCTGTGACATCACCATCAGAAGGATCTGGAGCATGAAGGAAGACATCCATCTCATTCATCCACTTCACCAGTCCGTCCATCTGGTCCTAGACATTCAATACATTTTTTTCTGTTAAACACTTCCTTAATGTACATTATTTTTTATAATGTTCCACTTATTTGTCACCAACTTTTGTAAGAATTATATCTCAATGTTTCGTCAAACTGATTTCCAGACATGGACCTAGAGGTGAGATGAACCCACCTCAAATATGACCTTCTGCTACACTTATCTACTTGAAACTGAATCAACTGTAGCATTGGCCTACCTGAAATTCTTTCAACATGGCCACATATTTCTCTAGCTCCGCCAGTCTCTGGTCAATGGTGGAGGAGACGGTTGTCCACTCAGAGTTCAGGTCATTCAGGTCAGCCTGCAGAGCCTCAGCTCTCTCACTGAATGACTTAAGGATCAAATCCCTCCCTGTTTTGTTGATGTACTCCAGATTTTGGCTGTGGTCCTCAATTTCTTTGTTTAAATCCTGAATGACAATTGAGAAAAAAACAATTACTTTTTTTTTAACAATTGTTAATGTTATTAAATCTTATTATTTAAGCCTTAAAAACCATTGAGATAAAATCAAATTTATTTTATAAATTATTATTAAATTTGCTCAAATTCTTAAAATAAATGTAATTTTAAATAATTTGTACAAAAACTATCACATTTTGATAAATTAATATTTTTTTCTTGGTTCCTCCAGCTTTTTGGCATCATGCTAGTGTTCAACAGGCTTTTATGCTACGTGATTGCTCAGTATAAATAATGACAAACATTGATTCACCTAACCAGCAAGATGGAAATATATTTGGTCTATGCTAATTGAAATTTGAATAATGAAGATGAGGTATAATTCAACTACGCCTTAAAACTTGCCTTATAACTTTCTAATTGTTTGGTCATTGAAGCTAGTGAAGACACTTGGATTTTCTCAGTCTTGATCACTGCATGTATGTCTTGCACCCATTTTCTGAAGACAGACATGGCGTCTAAATAGGTGCGAGGTGGGACTTTGTCCAGTGCCTCCATTAATTGCTTCTGTCTTTGGTCTGAAATTAAAGTAGGAAATCAGTAAAGATGTTACAAATGAGCAGTTGAAAGGCAAATTGATTTCACCTGGTGGTGCTACAATAACTAAAGCCATGCTACAATAGGAGTCATTAAGTTAAACTAGTCTGGAATTTGTTTGAATGTAGCAATAATACAGTGACCTCCCTTTAATACAATCCCATGCTAGGATTAAAAAAAAAAAAACAACCTACAAACATTTAAAATTGTTTCACTAAGTGTATCAGTGTTACACATGTTTAACATACACATTAATAAGCAACAAAAATAAATCACTATAAAGTCAAGTTACTTTCAAATTAAAGAATAAAAATAAAATAAAAGTTAGATGGGTCTATATTGTGTAAACTAAAAAAAAAAAAGGAAAACTAAAAATTAAAATAATAGTGTTTATTCTTACATTTTAATTGATTCCATATTAATCTATCAACAAACACAAAGCACATTCATGTGAAAAGCAAACATTTGACAACATTTTATTTATCTGAATATGACACAATGTCTATTGAACAACAACAGGTAAGACATGGACACATTTGATGACAAGAATTAGTTCCAAAAGAGCTCTATATAAAATGTGAATTTGACATCTAATGAAATCTTATAACATTTAATTTGATGGTAGATCAAAGTGTAAATGAGAATATTTTATCAACAATTTGGTGATTTAAAAAAAGGCCAAACTAAATTAGAATGATGATGATCAGAAGTGCCCAGATTTAGCTGCACATGGCTTAAAGTTTGGGTGAAAGAAAATAACACTCAGTGCTGCAATGGGTTACTTACAATCCTGACCATCTGCAACATACTCCAATGGTTAGTGGATGCATGGTGGGATGAATGAGTGAATACACAAGAAAGCAGAATGAATGAATTCATGAAAAACAGAACAGGACATGAAAGTGTTCAATGAAAAAAAAAAGAAATAATTTTTTTAAATTGTTATTTTGTAGTTGAAATCAATACTGAAATCTTATACATGTTTTGACTAAAATATATACTTTTTGATAAACGAGGAAAAAAATGTCTTTAATTTAAGCCAAACATGAGATAAATATTTCCATAAAACCTTTTTTAAAAATTGAAACTTTTTTTTTTACAGTTTATAGGAATAGTTTTTGTACCTCTGTAAAAAATGATGTACATTTTTATTAATTTTAAGCATATTTAAAATGGCATGATTTTTTAAACAGGTAAATTAAAGGGGATTGGTTGACAATAAAAAATTTGAATGTAAAAACCACCTCCAACAACATGCAAAATAAACCACACCCTGCATATCATATTATAATTAAATTAAACCATAACCTCTTATATTAAATAAAATAAACCATAATGCAAAAGTACTTTGCATCCACAGAAAGTTGTAAAAGTTTAGCAGCAATAAATATTTTCCCAGAATATTTGAAAGAATGAAATATTTACCCAGTTTAGAAAAGGCGTCGTGCCATTTTTGCGTGAACTGGTCAAGATCTGCCTTGATGGCTTGAGCCGTGTCGTACTGCCGGACTATCTGCTCACCGTGTACTCGCAGTCTCTCTATGCGCTCTTGGTGGGCCTGCATGGCCTTGACCTTAACCTTGAGAATATGAATGGGATGACTCATATCATAAGACCAGTTTTATCCAGAATTATGTTCATAAAAAAAAGAATGAAAGAGCTCATTTTTCAAATGGTGTCAACAGATAACATATTTTTTTTAAACTACTTAAAAAAGGGCTGAAAAAAAGGAACTACACTTTAATCTGTATGCTGTTGATAGCTGCTGTAAACACATAAGTATTTATCAAAACTGTATGGTCCACTAATTTTCAATGTAATGTAATTTTTGTAAACAAAACTTTTTAAAAACCAAAAAACTATTTTAATCTAACATTGTTTATTACTTTAAATGTTATAAATGTATCAGGAACATAAGAAAACTCACTTTGCATTGGTCTAGTTGTCGAATAATCTCTGGGGCCTCATCAGCTATGTTGTCAGCTGATTTGATCCACTTCTCATACGTGGCCATCAGGTCTTGTAGAACTGTCAGCTCATCGTAAAACTTTTTCATTTCGTTGTTTAGTTCAACCTGGATTATATTTATAGAAAATATTATAGAAAGGCGTAAGGATTAGAAAATCAAAGACAAAAAAAAATTAAACAATGAGAAGCTGAGCCCTATAAAAATATAAGAAACCTAAGACAAAAATATCTAAACAGCAACGAAAATCTAATACCTTTAAAAATGTGTGTAAACTAAGAAAAATAATTATTGTTAAATTCAGATTTAAAAAAAAATTAGTGAAAAACAAAAATTTGCTTACTTAACAAAATGATACTGTAATTGTTGTAATAAACTGTGTCTTACCTTGGTTTGTGTGTCAGCCAATTTCTCATTGAGGTTCTGCCATCTTTCTTCTAGGCCTTGGATGACAATTGTCATTGTGTCATAAGGCTCACCAGCTGGGGAACAGAAAACAAGTTAATTAAAAAAGTCTAGTGACATTTATGCGCAATTTCCTTATGTTATCTAAAAATAGCTCTGACGTATAATGCTGGGTGCGTTCAAGCTAGAAGAACGATCGGTTTGTAGGTGTTTATGTAATTTTAAAATTTGTGACCGAACGAGAGGATATTTTTGAAAACTTTCTTCGGCAATATTGTTCTAAATTATGGCAGGAATCGATTGGTACATGTTTCAAGTCGCTAAGTGGTCTGGTTGCCGAGATATGGGCCAAAAACTGCATTTTTTCGAGGTTTTTTGGCTTTTTCGGGAAATACATGAAAGAAACCCGGAATTTTTATGGCCTATGCTCATTCTCGTAACTTGCTTAACATAATTGCTTTTGGAACTAGTCATCAATATTGCTTCGTTGAGGAGGAGATACGACTTAAAGCCCGGACACACATTCATCCATACATTCATTCATTCATCCATCCATTCCCAGAAATGACGAGTTCATAAACGCAATTCTCCAGAATGGAAATTGCGCTAAAAATCATTTATATTGTGACAATGGCAGAGAATTTGATATACTTCGTAACTTTAAGTGAATAGCTATTACATCGTACTAATTTGTACAGAATATGAATATGCAACTTGCTACTCAAAAGCAAGGCCAATAAACAAAATAAAAATCTAGCCAAATGTAAATTATACTTAAATAATGTTAAAAATTATTTTTACCAATCTTTAGTTCTGTAATGATAGTCTTGCCAAGGGTAAGTAACCGTTGTACATCTATTTGTTTACTTCTTACAGAGTTCTCTGTGTCCTGGTTAAGAATAAAATTATATATTAAATTGGTCCTGCAGGTAATTTTAAGTTTTATCTCATTATGAAATCACAATTGCTAAAAATTTTCACTTAAATAAATATTACTTAGCTGCTATAATACTTTAGAAAAAACAAAACATGACTTTAGGCTTTATTTCTATAGAATGTTTACCAGAATCAAAACTCTCTGCTCCTCTACAGTAAAAGGCTCTTGTGGGTTCTCAGAGACCAGTAGGTGTAGCGTGGATTCTGTCCTGTCCATCCAGTCTAGAAGGTTCTTGAGCTCCACATCAAACTCTGACCTGGTAGCAGACTCCAGCCTGCGTTTCTTGGACTTGACGGCGGAGGATGTGGTGGCAGCAGTCTCCGCTTCAATCACCTCTTCATCGTAGTACTCAGACACCTTCGACAGCTCAACACCCGAGTTGGCAATCTGGGGTACACACAGGGGGGTGGGGGGAAGGACATTTGGGGTTTATTCATTAGCTATACAGGCCTACAGTAAATAGTATAAATGCTAATTTAAACCTTAGGGTTAAGTTTTGGTAAAGATAATGGTAATTTACTTCTCAGTATTAGGATTTGGGTCTATGTGAGAATTTAGAGTAGTTTTGGGTTTGGATGATTATTTTCACCAACATAGGATGTATGAATATCAGTAAACAAATAAATTTTTAACTGCTAATACTATTGGTAATTTAGAACAAAAACAAAGAAATTAAGCTAAAGTAAAAAATAAAATGACTGACCTCTTTACTCTGGGACTCCATGTCTTGGACCAGTTTCTCCCACCTTTCCTGGAACTCCTCCAAGAGCGCTGAGATTTTAGTGATGGCTTCCTGGTTGTCTACCACAGCCACAATCTGCTGACCACACTCATTCAAGGCGTCAAACCTCCGCACCTGCTCCACCATGTCGTTCTCTATGGCCTGGGGCAAAACAATATGGCAACATCACATAGTGGTCAATTATACAACAAATATATGACTACATCACATAGTGGTCAATTATACAACACATATATGGCTACATCACTTAGTGGTCAATTATACAACAAATATATGGCTACATCACATAGTGGTCAATTATACAACAAATACATGGCTACATCACATAGTGGTCAATTATACAACAAATATATGGCTACATCACATGGTGGTCAATTATACAACAAATATATGGCTACATCACATAGTGGTCAATTATACAACAAACATAGGGCTACATCACATAGTGGTCAATTATACAACAAATATATGGCTACATCACATAGTGGTCAATTATATAAAAAATATAAACCAACACAACATATTTATTCAACTCAATAATATAAATTATAATAGTGATTGTATAGAAGTAGAAAAAAGTTTACAAAAACAAAAATAACTTTTGTGTTAAGTTTACACACATGTTCCATTCAGGACACTGATTTAAATTTCTTGCTTGAAGTTAAATCTTACGAGTCTAAACTTGAAGACAATAAATCCCTCCATTTAAAAGAAACTACTTAATCTTATGTATCTAAACTTGAAGAAAATAAACCCCTCTACCACAGAAGAAATTATGTTATCCTCAAGAAATATTTTTTTACCTTCAATGACTTGACCTGGTGTATGACCTGGTCTGCTGTTGTCAGTTCTGTGGCTTTCATTTCCTGGAGAATTCCTTCCTTCTCTGTCAGCCAATCATTGAACTTGTCCTGCTCGTCAGAAAACTGCTGCCACCTCATAAGAAGCTCCTGCAACAGCAGCCATTGTTCCTCTGTCCAGCGGCAGATCTGTGCCCATCTTCTGCCCAGGGATTCTAAAGTTTGCTCCATGGCAGCGCAAGCTAAAATATGTAAAGGAGGTATCACAAATATATTACAATATTAGAACTTTTAGAAAATAATTTGTTTTGCTTCTAATCTGATAAAATATTCAATATAATTTAAATTGTTTTACTTTGTATCTAATCCCAAATTATAGTTTTTAACCAATTATTCTTAATTTTGGCTTGCTTTGTTATCAGTAACTGAAAACTCCCTACATTACATTTGTCATTATGACTTCAATATGGATAACCATACTAAAAAAAATTCCAAACAGATTCTCATTAGTTTTAACCCTAGCCAAGGACTCAACCATATACACACATCAACTTAATACAACCAGTAACCAATATTTAAAAAATTAACCCACGCTAGGAACCCAATTATATCTGGGCCACAACAGCATCATCCACACAACAGCCCTACAATCAACTGACCTGACTCACATTACAACTCTAACCCACACCATCAACCACACCACAGCCCTACAACCAACTGACCTGACTCACATACAACTCTAACCCACACCATCAACCACACCACAGCCCTACAACCAACTGACCTGACTCACATACAACTCTAACCCACACCATCAACCACACCACAGCCCTACAACCAACTGACCTGACTCACATACAACTCTAACCCACACCATCAACCACACCACAGCCCTACAACTAACTGACCTGACTCACATACAACTCTAACCCACACCATCAACCACACCACAGCCCTACAACCAACTGACCTGACTCACATACAACTCTAACCCACACCATCAACCACACCACAGCCCTACAACCAACAGACCTGACTCACATTACAACTCTAACCCACACCATCAACCACACCACAGCCCAACAACCAACAGACCTGACTCACATTACAACTCTAACCCACACCATCAACCACACCACAGCCCAACAACCAACAGACCTGACTCACATACAACTCTAACCCACACCATCAACCACACCACAGCCCTACAACTAACTGACCTGACTCACATACAACTCTAACCCACACCATCAACCACACCACAGCCCTACAATCAACTGACCTGACTCACAATTCTAACCCACACCATCAACCACACCACAGCCCTACAACTAACTGACCTGACTCACATACAACTCTAACCCACACCATCAACCACACCACAGCCCTACAATCAACTGACCTGACTCACAATTCTAACCCACACCATCAACCACACCAAGCCCTACAACAACAGACCTGACTCACATACAACTCTAACCCACACCATCAACCACACCACAGCCCTACAACAACAGACCTGACTCACATACAACTCTAACCCACACCATCAACCACACCACAGCCCTACAATCAACTGACCTGACTCACAATTCTAACCCACACCATCAACCACACCAAGCCCTACAACAACAGACCTGACTCACATACAACTCTAACCCACACCATCAACCACACCACAGCCCTACAACAACAGACCTGACTCACATACAACTCTAACCCACACCATCGACCACACCACAGCCCTACAACCAACTGACCTGACTCACATACAACTCTAACCCACACCATCAACCACACCACAGCCCAACGACCAACAGACCTGACTCACATACAACTCTAACCCACACCATCAACCACACCACGCCCTACAACAACAGACCTGACTCACATACAACTCTAACCCACACCATCAACCACACACAGCCCTACAACCAACTGACCTGACTCACATTACAACTCTAACCCACACCATCAACCACACCACAGCCCTACAACAACAGACCTGACTCACATACAACTCTAACCCACACCATCAACCACACCACAGCCCTACAACCAACTCATACTGACCTGACTCACATACAACTCTAACCCACACCATCAACCACACCACAGCCCTACAACTAACTGACCTGACTCACATTACAACTCTAACCCACACCATCAACCACACCACAGCCCAACGACCAACAGACCTGACTCACATACAACTCTAACCCACACCATCAACCACACCACGCCCTACAACAACAGATCTGACTCACATACAACTCTAACCCACACCATCAACCACACACAGCCCTACAACCAACTGACCTGACTCACATACAACTCTAACCCACACCATCAACCACACCACAGCCCAACGACCAACAGACCTGACTCACATACAACTCTAACCCACACCATCAACCACACCACGCCCTACAACAACAGACCTGACTCACATTACAACTCTAACCCACACCATCAACCACACACAGCCCTACAACAACAGACCTGACTCACATTACAACTCTAACCCACACCATCAACCACACACAGCCCTACAACCAACAGACCTGACTCACATACAACTCTAACCCACACCATCAACCACACACAGCCCTACAACCAACAGACCTGACCCACACCATCAACCACACCACAGCCTTATAACCAACTGACCTGACTCACATACAACTCTAACCCACACCATCAACCACACACAGCCCTACAACCAACAGACCTGACTCAGTGTTGTTGTCGTCCACCACCACCACCATGTTCTGTAGACTGTCCACCTTCTTTTGTTCCTCCTCCAGACTTTTCTGTATCTCCTGTGGAGGACACAAAATATTTTAGTTTGATTTGGCTGAGTCAGCATTTAAATATAATGTTCATTTGGTGATATGGCTAAGTCAGGGTTTAAATATAATCTAACACCTATGGATCTTTCAGCGTATAGAGTGCTTTTAACAAAAAAAGGTGGTTTTTTAAAAGCGTCTAGCCATTTACCAAAATGCTGGGCTTTTAGAAATAAGAATTTTGTCATTATACTAAATTTTGTTAACAAGAAATATGTAATAAATGTGTCATTAAAATTGTGGCAACAAAAGTGTCATTAAAATTGAGTGAACAACATTAGAAAAGAACTGACTTTGTGCTCTTCAACTTGAGACTTGATGGCATCCAGGTCGGCACCAATCATGTGCTGTTTGACAATTCTTTCCTCCATGACAGTCAGCCAGTCACCAAGATCATCCAGCTGCTTCTGCTGAAGGTCCATCAACACCTTCTGAAGCCTGGAGAAACAAGTGACAGTTCAAAATGTGTTGATATCAAAGCCACCCAGTGCTGTTTATTTCACCAGTTAAACATTGTATTTACTTTAGAACGTTAACAAGCATTAGGTTTTTCTAAGGGACATTTACAGTTCAACTATTGTCTACACTACATTAGAATATATGTTTAGCTGCTTGGCACAGCCATGCAGATACATTAGATAAATATTTGTTCTATACAAAAATGTTGTATAAACTGATCTGAAGACTAAGATTGCTGTTTGTAGTGTGAAGTTGTGTTTTATTTAGAATAGAATTGAACACATATTTCTGTAAGAATCTCTGAAGATGTGTTGATGTTCAACATTAAAAATAATTGTATTTTTATAACAGGGAGGCATCATGACAACCAGTGGTTTGGTTCTTTAAGGTCACTGCCCTCCCCCCATCTATGACATTTCACTTGAGCCCCCCCGCCCCAGGGCTTGACATAGATATCCCTGTGTGTTTACATTCTGCTCTAGGTGCCTCAGGTCAGGTTGTTTGACTTGAGTAGGATCTAATACACAACTAGAGAACAACTCACACTAGTCAGGTGAAATACAGGTGATCTAATATGCCCTCATATAAAGTGGAGCTATAGGCCTAGGTAAGATAGAGACTGGATCATCCTACTCAAGGAACAACTGGATGAGTTAACTAACATAAGTATGGCACAGGTAGAAAGCCTGTTATGTACAACAGTTAAATAAAACTTATCAAATAGTGTCCAGATTTTTAGCAACTTAGCACATCTATACCTTAGGCAGAAGAAAAATGTGACCAGTGTGTTATACAATTGTTAGTTAGCGATTGTGTTAGTTTTATTAGAAAGTAGCTTGCGAATGATACTGATACGCAGACCAGTGTTTAGAATCTTAATAGCTGCAAGTCAGGCTCAACAGATGCCAGAACAATGTCAAGGAATGAATACCAATGTCTGACCTTGACCTTTTCCTCCATAATCTAGGCAGAAATGTTTCACTGTACCAACACATTTAGGTCAAAGTTAAATCCACATGTATGCCTGACTTAATCCACAGCTGACTTAATCCATTGCTGACTTAATCCATTGCTGACATAATCCACATCTTACTTAATCCAGTTTACTTAATCCAAAGCAGACTTAATCCACAACACCAAACATCTCATGTAATCCACAGTTGACTCTAACAGCTGACTTTATCTGCAGCGGACTCAATCCACAACATCAGACAACTGCCTTAATCGATTGCTGACTTAATCTACAGTGACTTAATCCACAGCTGACTTTAATCCATTGCTGACTTAATCCACAACGACTTAGTCCACACTACCATACAGCTGATACAACACCATCCATGAACTTGTTAAAGCTGACCAATGAATCCTACACCACCAATCACCTTAACTGACCAGTGGCTGAACCCTTTCTGCTGGATATCACGAGTCTGCACCCATGAACAGAGACACAAACATATCCCAGCATTCCACCAGTGACCTTGACCCTGCACGTGCTGACACCTGCACGTGCTGACACCCTGTCATGTGACTGACATCACAAGACACACACCCGGTTTACTCACCCTTTAAAAAAACTTTCGCTGTTGTATTCAGTAGAGTTGCGTTACTTTATCAAAACGTTACTTTAGTGTTAAGTGAAAAACTATTTAGTGAGACTGAGTTCAATATAAATCTGAACGTCTATGTATATGTGTGATAGGGAGAAATGTATGACACTATACTACTTTGTCATTATGGGGTAGTATGACATGATACTGTATATGTCATTGTGTGACAGTGAATATGAGAGGATGGTTAGTTAAAAAGGCAGAATTTCAAGAATGAAACTTAAACCAGTATACCGTAATATAAGCAAAAAATAAAAACATAACAGTAAACTCGTGTTTTCTTTCGTTAAAATAAGATATGTTTGTCTAAAAATGAATCGCATTAACTATTCGAAATTATCGCAAACTATGCTGCTAGACAAATGTGCAATGATTAGTGTGTTCGCTACGTAAATCAAATGTAATCAAACTAAAGGGAAGCTACTCTACACTAAAGGGAAGCTACTCTACACTTACCTTGTTGAATGAGACTGACATAAAAACTTCGTTAGGTGCCCTCACTAGCATTAACCCCAGTCTATTTAAAAACTACAAATGGACAAGTTCAATATTTGAACATACCTGTCTAAAATAGGGCATAACTGTCATTCTCTGATGTTAGAAAAAAAGGCGAATTTAGTAACTGTAGGCTTACCAAATTGGTACGTTATTTTCATTGCCCAGTGAGTTAAGCCATGTTGATAGATATGTTTGTAGAGCAAGAAGTGGCTGAGAATTTTAAGTAATTGTATAGGGGTGGTTACATTACAATATCAAGACTATCTTAAAGGCGGCTGAGCAATAATGTTTCATAAGCCGAGATCACAGAAATAGGTTAACTCTACTTTTTCTGTACTATTGACCTCCGTAGGAAAAATAAACTTCTTTTGTTTTAAACTTAGTGATAGCAAAGAACACAGTTGGTAATAGTAGAAGTATAAAACAAGCCACGTCCGTCAGAATTGTATGATCAGCACCTCACATGTTTGGTTACATTTAGGCCGTCAAGTTCTACCAACTACAGCCGAAGACTTCCGTATACACCTGGGTCATGTTCTTCCAACTACAGCCGGAGACTGCCGTATACATTTGGGCCAAGTCAAGTTCTACCAACTACAGCCGGAGACTGCCGTATACATCTGGGCCAAGTCATGTTCTACCAACTACAGTCGGAGACTGCCGTATACATTTGGGCCAAGTCAAGTTCTACCAACTACAGCCGGAGACTGCCGTATACATCTGGGCCAAGTCAAGTTCTACCAACTACAGCCGGAGACTGCCGTATACATTTGGGCCAAGTCAAGTTCTACCAACTACAGCCGGAGACTGCCGTATACATTTGGGCCAAGTCAAGTTCTACCAACTACAGTCGGAGACTGCCGTATACATCTGAGCCATATTCTACCAACTACAGCCGGAGACTGCCGTATACATCTGGGCCAAGTCATATTCTACCAACTACAGCCGGAGACTGCCGTATACATCTGGGCCAAGTCAAGTTCTACCAACTACAGCCGGAGACTGCCGTATACATGTGGGCCAAGTCAAGTTCTACCAACTACAGCCGGAGACTGCCGTATACATCTGGGCCAAGTCAAGTTCTACCAACTACAGTCGGAGTCTGCCGTATACATATGGGCCAAGTCAAGTTCTACCAACTACAACCGGAGACTGCCGTATACATCTGGGCCAAGTCAAGTTCTACCAACTACAGCCGGAGACTGCCGTATACATCTGAGCCAAGTCAAGTTCTACCAACTACAGTCGGAGACTGCCGTATACATCTGAGCCAAGTCAAGTTCTACCAACTACAGCCGGAGACTGCCGTATACATCTGAGCCAAGTCATGTTCTACCAACTACAGCCGGAGACTGCCGTATACATGTGGGCCAAGTCTACCAACTACAGCCGGAGACTGCCGTATTTAGCCGAAGAATGTTGGCTTTGGCTGCCATCCAAAAGAATAATTAGTTTAAAAAAAAATGAAAAAAAAAAGGTACAAGAGTAAAATCAAATCACAATTATTTTACTTTAATCGCTCTGGGATAGTTATTTAAAACTAAAAGACCAACTCTCTCAAACCAGCAATCCTATGGGCGACGTATTCGTCTGCAAATACACCTACGTAACATTCCCAAATATAATGGCATAAGGGGGAAATAACTAAGTGTACAATAATGGAAACATAGCCTTCGATTACTCCCCTTGTGTTGGCACTAAAAAAGCTAGTAAACCCTAAAAGGTTCGAGAAAGAGTGATCGTGTATTCAGCTTTAGTTACACTTTAAGTTTAAGTCACCCACAGGTCTCACACACCCGATACATCACCATCTTTACAGTTTAAAGACAACGATCTATGCATTTGATTTAGTCCGGTTTTTTTCACTTCATAAATATAAAATACTTAAGTACATGTATGGGTAAACATTTTTTAAAATATTAAATTGTTTTTACGCTTTTAGCTGTAAAGAAGCAAAAAAACATCACTTGAAGAAGGTTTAGACGCTGAAGTTAATTAGGTTGAAAAATCAAACAAACCATCAGCGAGAGGTTAATGAGTTCATAAAAGACGTCAACACCAGAGTTTTAAAAAATATTATTTTGTAAACAACTGTGTGTGCACGTGTTGTGTACTCACAGTTCATGTGCGATTGTCGCACTTGTGCGATGATCTAAAATACACTTGCATGTGTGTGATGGTCTAAAATACACATTCACGTGTGCGATGGTCTAAAATACACATTCACGTGTGTTGGTCTAAAATACCCATTCACGTGTGTTGGTCTAAACTACACATTCACGTGTGTTGGTCTAAACTACACATTCTCGTGTGTGATGGTCTAAAATACACTTGCACGTGTGTGATGGTCTCAACATACACATGCCAATGTGTGACAGTATACATAAATTCAGTGCCGGCGCCAGGTTATTTAGCGCCCTAGACAAAACTTAAAACGCCCCCTTTCTCACGGATTAATTACTAAAACATATGTATAAGAAAACAATTCATTAAAAGTGACATAATATTAATTTATTATCAATTATAAGGATATATCAAAATCAAATTTTATTTATCGTTTGCAAGCGTATTCATATTTTATTGAAATTGTCCACGAGTCTACTTTGTACTTTACGACTCCCCCCCCCCCCCCCCCCCACTTAGAAAATTTTAAGTGCTCCCCCACTCTCCCGGGAAAAATCTGGAAAAAAAAAAACATTGGAATTGGAAAAAAAAAGTTCTTGTAGATTTGGGATCTCCCGAGGTGAGCTCCAGAATGGACCTTACCTGTTTTAAGCTTGACTGTCTTTAGTTATAATTGTAAAATGTCTATACTGTGTGACTATTTAACGATTTTTTTTTGTTTTTGAAAAATAAAAGGTTATAAATGTTATA